TGGATCCAGATTCTGTTGTTGACTGTTTCTCTCCTCTAAGGTCGTTCACAGAGGTAAACTGTGTTTTAAGGTTTTAAATGTTATTGGTGTTATTGTTAGCCAGTTTCTAGGTTGCATGCCGGTAATTAACTAATAGAAAGCCATTAAAACTTTCTGATTAGCTTTGAATAAATGAAGATTTTTAGAGAAGATAATTAAAATGTAAACAAATTGAGTTGTGTAACAGCTGCTGCCTGCCACCATTACCCGCTGGGTCCTCCTCCAGGGTTCACACCTGTCCTGGAAAATCTCATCATGGAAACACCTGGAAATGAACGATGTTGTCCTGGAAACGTTGAATTGTGTTTTAGCCTCTCACTCAGATTTAGTGGTTGAAACTGAGCTGTTGGTAGGAGAGCTGCTCACACCCCCTGCAGCAAACCTCTGTTATTAATGAGTAAATTCACATTTGTCGTTGTTAATTGTACGTGCAGCGACACTTTCTGCCTCTTCTTATAACTGCCAGGAAGTTAGAGGATGGATTTACTGTCAAATAAAATGATTAATGCTCCGCTGTATCATAATCATAAACACCGTCCAGCATTCAGAGCTGATAGGATGCTGAGTATGAACTACACACTCGTCTTTGGAGAGATTCTTCCATATATAACTTTTTCTTTCTTGCTCAGGTCACAATGCCGACGACGTGGCGGAGACCGTTTTGATGAACGTCCTGCGGGGAGACATCGCTCGCCTGCGCCGCTGCACCGCCATCTCCACGGCCAGCGAAGGTGACGGAGTCGTGCCGCGCTGCAAGCCGCTCAAATACGCGTACGAGAAGGAGATCGTCCTGTACGCGTACTTCAAGAAGCTGGACTACTTCTCCACCGAGTGCATCTACTCTCCCAACGCCTACCGCGGCTACGCCAGGACCTTCCTGAAGGACCTGGAGAGCGTCCGGCCCAGCTCCATAATGGACGTCATCCACTCGGGGGAGAACCTGTCTGTGCGGGAGGGGGTGAGGATGCCGGTGCAGGGGACCTGTAACCGCTGCGGGTACATCTCCAGCCAGGCTCTGTGCAAGTCCTGCGTGCTGCTGGAGGGGCTGAACCGAGGTCTGCCGAAGCTCGGGATCGGCAAACACCACCGCCTGCACGACAAAATCCTCTCGCAGACGCCGCTCACCGAGAAGGAGGAGAGGAAGCTGAGACCAGTCGACTTTTGACGAATATTATCCCCATTTTTATTTCCCAAAAGACTGAAGATAGATCATGAATTTTAGAATGAACCACATTTGTTGTCTTTTACTTATTGTGTTCCTTTATCATCAATTCAATATTTATTAAATGTTTCTATAGAATATTGTAATTCAGTAAAACCTCCATTCACTGCTGCTTTAACGGATCCCTCTAGGATTTTGGTTTTTTAGCCATTTTTTGTAATGAAAGTGCAGGAAAAAGTGAAAAATGCAGGTTTTTTTGGTCCGGTAATAAAAAATCAACCTCAAATAGTTCCAGTGAGAATAAAAACTATCCAACGACTGCAGTTGTTTCTGTATTACACACATATTACAACATGCACCGTGAACCAGGAAATGTTGAGTTTTCTGTTAGAGATGTACAGTTTGGGTCAATTAGAATAATTAGCGTTAATAATCATATATGGAGCGACTGATTTGGACAATATAAGAGAGGTTCAGGGGGTTGTTGGGATGCTGAATTTATTTCTGACATTTTCAAAATACAAAATGAACTTTTTAAAGCACATTTCAGCTCCTGATGGGCTGATTTAGATTAATTCATTTTGAGGTTATTTATGTGCTTGGACCTGCTTTTTAGAATCAATAAAGCTCAGTGTCATCAGTGTCAGTGTCCACAGTGCTTCAGTTGTGGTGTTTGTTTTTTGTCAACCTGTGTTTTTGCTGCTGCGGTTCTCTATTAATCATATAAATAACCTTAAAATGAATCATAATCAGGCCTCCAGGAGTTTAAAGGTCCATTGAAATGGATTCACCATCTTCAATAATGCCCCAAACCCACTCCTATAATGCTGAAATATTATCTGTATAGCTGATTATTAATGCTAATTCTGCAAATTGACCTGATCTGTCAGTTCATGAAAGCACTTCCAGTTCCCAGTGTGGCTCCGGTGGCTGGTAAATAGGTTATAAGGACAGGAGATGGTAGAAATGTTTGGTTTTTAAAGAAACCACCGCAGTGTGTCAGGTGCAGAGACAAACAGAGAGGTAGCTTCCACTGCAGTGAACTCTCTCTGATGTGTTATTGCTTTATTTTCTGCTCCCTCTGTTTGTCCCAATGCACCGAACTCTGGGGAGGACACGATGACGGCCACATTCCAATATGAACTATAATTTAATAAATGCATTGTCCTTTATCTTCTTGTTTCTCTGATTTTATGTTTTCCATTCGTACATCAGGGTTGATTCTCACACAGATGTTTAATGTGATACAGCGATGAAGTGATGACATTCTTAAATATGTATCATCAATATACTGAAAACAATGAATTCAATGCTTGGAACTGGACCGGTTGGTGGAGGCGTACAGCTGCAGTTCTGTAATATTTGTTATAAAATGTGTGAGTTGCTTCGTGTTCGTGTGTTCGAATCTACTAAACATGACACTGATGACAAGGTCACGCCTAAACATACACTCGACGAGTTCACACGTTTTTTTTTTATCACATAGAAATTTCCATTTCATGAATATGTTTGTGGTTTGTCTCTTTGTCACTTTAACTTCCCATCAGTGAGAGCAGTGAGTGTACAGAAGATTACTGCTGCCAGAAAACAGAAGAACTATCATGTTATATAACATGAAATATTTGTTATGTTAAGATGTTTTTCATGTTATAATAAGATTTAATTTTTCTTCAGCAAGTAGGTAAAAGAGACGATGTCATCGGTGTGATTTTTATTTCAAAATAAGAGACTTTTGTTACACAGTAAAAGTAGTGACGTGACTGCAGGGGACCATTACTTTAACATTCGGTTGCGAAAAAAACGCTTCAAAAGTTGCCTCTTGTCCCTGGGGTAGATAAAACATGATACGGTGCCCTTTAAGGTCCCTTACCAGTGAAGAAAACATAATAAAATGCTCTCTAGGGTGCCTTTAGTGGATAAAACATAATAAAATGCTCTCTAGGGTGCCCTTCCAGTGGAGAAAACACAATAAAGTGCCCTCTAGGGTGCCTTTAGTGGAGAAAACATAATAAAATGC